TTTTATATTTTCAGAAACAGTTTTTCAAAATGACAAAAAGAACGCATTTTCAGAAATTTCAAAACAGACACTCAAAACACAAAACATAAAATGAATTCAAAACTCAAAACACAAAACTGAAACACAAAGAGAACGACCCCTTACATTTTTTTAAAAACATCAAGAAAGAAAAATTTGGGAAATTTTTGCCCAAGCGGACGTCGTTTGCCCAAGAGTAGATTTTTTAATCGTTTTGAATTTTGACACACAACGGCTAATTTGGTTGTCCGATTCAGTATGCGGACATTCTGATAGGTCGTCTAATTAGTTTGAAAATCATTTTTCTTATCAAAGTTTTTTCTCACATAACACTTAAATTTCATTCATTGCTATTTATTGAAGTCTTAGCTTATTTATCTCTTTGTACTTAATTTGAGCATATCATTTATCAAGAGAGAAGTTGCAAATTGTAAAATCAACTTCCGCTTGGGCATATTAAGGTCCCGTAAAACTCAATATTATATAAGGATTGATATTTTTTGTTTATAAGTCATCGGAAGTATTGTATGGGTTTGGATTGCTTTAGAAGTCAATCAAATATAGTGAGAAGGCTTTGCTCATGACGGAAGTTTGATAACGAAGGACGTAGATCATCGTTTGGATCGAACATCCACAATTACATCGTTTGCACACTCTTCACTCTATAAATTTTCAATTTTCCACACAATTGCTCCATCTTGATTCTCTCGGAAGTTTTCAAAAAACTTAAGGTAAGATTTATACTATTGTTCCGTCCTTTTTCGAATTACAATAATTTTATCTGTTTAGATGCAATTGTGCAAATAAAATGACATTATTTGTTGAAATCTTACCATTTCGGTGGAGATTTGGCCATTTCGATGAGTATTTTAGGTGGATTATTGTTTAATTTAGTTTATTTTTCAGAGTCCTCATTTTTAGTTTGTTGGTATTTACTTGCTTATTTTGTAGATTGATGTTGTATATGAATAACAATACTATGCAAAAAGCTATAAACTCGATCGAGAATGAATGGATATTTTGGGTTTACAGTTTTGTAATTAAGGTATTAAGATTCCCATTTTATTTTAAGAATGCATTTTTGAATAATAAATTGATGGAGAATGTGTAGTTAAAAAAATAAAGAAAATTTTTGAATTTACGTGTAATATTTTTTTATTGAAAAATGTGTGGTCAAAAATAATAAAAAGAAAAAATGTATTTTGAAGATAATGTGGATCAAACAAGGACTAATTATTATTTATATTTTTACAAAAAATTAATGAGATTTATGCAAAAATTTGAAGACCTAAATGAGATATTTTATTTTGCTACTCTATCTTTTGAATTGATAAAATCTTCTTTTTAATATAAAAGTGTTAAATATTCTTATCATTTAAACACAAATCATTCTCTTGATTGCATAAGGAATAATTA